TGCTGAGCTCGGATCTGTTCATCCTGGGCTTGCAACATCTGCCTGAAAAGGTTGACAGTGTTGTCTTCTGGACTAGGCACAGTTGCCTGCTGCGGATTCCCTCCTCCGTGAGGGAAAGTCGGTTGCGTTCCAAACTGAGGCTGCTGCTGCTGCTGAAAACCCTGCTGCAACGGAACCTGTTGAGGTACCTGTGGAAAAGGCACCTGAGGCACTTGACCTGCACTCACAAGAGGTCTGGGTCTACTCACAGGCCGGTGTGCTGTCGGACTGTTCCGAGCAGGGAGGGACCTTCCACGAGTCCGCGAGCCAGGTGCACTCAACTCTCGAGGGGTTGAGGGAAAGCCAGAAGAAACTCCACTGGCACGACTAGCACTTCGCCCTGAACTCCGTCCTCTTGGGGAACGGTCGCGGCTAGGCTCGGCTCGTGGGTCCATGGCTCTGAGGAGCAACCTTGAGCTCCGCTACCACGTTAAAACCCAAACGCGCCTTGAGGCACACTTCTAGGTTTAGTAAAAGGAGGTGCAAGCCGACTGACTGACTACGTCATGCAAGGCTACAGCAGTGAAAGCTAACAGCACTTTTACACCTTTCGTCGCAACCAACTGTTCACCACGCGCTTGTCACGCAGTGCAAGGCTTGAGCCAAAAGTGAAACGGGGCGCGGACAGAGACTTCAGCACACTCACTTCCGAGGTAAGTCCTAAGGACTCCTAACGGCTTTTCTGCACTGGCAACTCTGCTACACGGACCAGGTGTTCCCCGGACTTCGTCTAGAAGTCCGTTCTCACAGCAAACAAACTGAAAACACTCTGATGTTCCTCGTGCTTCAGGGAAACACCGTTCTTCGTGAAAACTCGTGAGGAAAACTCCGGTTGGACACACTTCTGGTAATGATCACTTTCACCGCAAGGTGAGACAGGAAGCGTGAGCGCGCGACCGACAGACAGACAACTTTCCCACTCCTACTTTCACAACTACCTAAGGTTCTCTAAAACTCACAAGGAGGAAATAGAAAGTGTTCCTGACCTTGGCAAGACACAGAGGCACCATTATAGGATTGAAAATCAACTTGATGGCTGAGGCAAACTCTCTCCTGGGCCTCCTTGCTTAGAATGAAGGCACCAGGGCTCATGTCACGTCGTTTCTTTCTTGGGATCCGTTTGCGGCATCAGCTCGTGGTGTCTTCTCGGCCAGCAGCCACAAGAAACTCTCAAGATACACCGAGATCTGACCCGATGCTAGGTGTGTCAGTGCAACTCCACAAGCACAGCATGCGCCCACAGTCACAGTCGAGGCGCGCTGAGCACACACTGCATGAACCCCCGAGACGGTCTTTACCGTCTGAAGGCCACCCAAGGCCTTTGGAGGTCCTGAGCGACTCCACTGCTGAACCACCTCTGAGGGTGTAGCACGGTACCTACAACTTAGGGTACCCAAGGGATCCTAATTTTTGACAGTCACACATGAAGCTCAAAGTAGAATGCTTCACATCAGATGGCGCCAACCATGGTAAGCTTGCAACCATGCAGCATGCTCGGACACCTCCTGACGCGGAAACTCGTGACTCATGCCTTTTTTGTTGAAATGAACCTTTTGAGAAATTCACAGATTCACGTGTTAGATCCCGACCTGGGGTTCAGTACGTTTCTGTGCAGTGTGAAGCAAAGCCTCAAGCTGTACGTGTGCATCAAAGTGTCAAGCTCCCGAATTTCAGGTGTTTTACTTTCAATCTCAACCTGCAACCGCAAGACGGAGGAAGCCAAACTTTTTCAGGATGACCTTGAGGCCACGTCTTGCAGCTTTGAAGCCTTGGAAATGAAAAGTTTGGGGCTTTGCGAAGGCTTCAGCGGGCTTCGGAGCCAGGCCCCGAGTTTTCTTTGGTTGATGTGAGCTGTGCAGGGCCGGCCCTCCTTTGGGACTGGCACTTCAACCCAGACAGGCAACCAGAAAAGCGATTATACAGGCCGACATTCGGCAGAAATGACAGCGACACCGGTGCTTTGACTGCGACAGAAGGCCCCGGCCCTTGCTGCGGAATGTCTTGCATCGCATGAAACAAAGCTTGCCCGCGCTCCACTTCGACACCGGCTGCTGGGAGGCGCTCAGTAGCCTCAAACCTAGGCCTCTGAGACCGAGGTCCATGGCCCTCGGCAGGGTGCAGAGGATATTCCCGAAAGCTCGCCATCCGCACCTTCCTTGTTTGCTTTTCGCTAGAGCGAGAGCGTGATGCCTAAGAGGCATCAGGAGCCAGTTCTAGTTTAGAGAGCTGAAACCCTGGTTCGCTGTTAGTGCTCACGAGCTGTGAAGTGTTTGAAGTCCAGAGAGCTGTGTACTGAAGCCTCAAGCCGTGCCGGGCTTGGCTCAAGACTCGGACTGCTGAAGAACAGCAGAGTGAAAAGTGTGGAGCGTGCCCACTCTGTCTGTGTGTGAGACCCAGAGGCCCCGAAGGTTCCCTAGAGGTCCCTCGGAAACTTACGCCTTGTGGAAGCACATAAATCAACATGAAAGAAACGGGCACAGACCCAAGATGAGAGGCAGTCTCCCCTGCCCCGAGCTTCCAGCAGGAAAATCCCTCGCGAGTCCTGCCTTGCAACAAGATTGTTTACCTTGCAGCAAAGCAATTTCCCTGATCAAGAGATCAACACGGCACTACGTGGCCGGATCATCCTTCTGATAGAGCAATCCTTCCTGCCTTGGCCGTGCCACAGCCAACGATAAAAGTTGAGTGTTTTTGGAAAGGACGGTGGGAAATTATTTCTGTGAAATTGGTGAAATGTTTTGCGTGACCTTTCCTTGAAATGGCTGAAGTATTTTTTGTGTGTGTGTTTTAGATATTTTTTGACTTGTTGAACCATAATATTCTAGCTGAACATGTCCTATCAAACTCAGTGCATGTTGTTACAATGTTGTTGTTTGCTCCGCAATCGTGCATCATGGCCATGCGAGAAGCAGATCTTGGGACGTGTGTGTGTGACTAGATAGGCACCATTGTAGGTTGCAATCGGCTAACGGGCAATGCATAATAGACACTTGCAAAGGTTTCTCGAGTTCCCCGTCGATCTCGATAGCAGTACGATCTCCGGGGCCAGAGAGAAGCGATACCTTCTCAGGAAACTCTGAGATGGAAGGATGGCACCGATGGCGGTCACCGGGGACATTGCCAAGGCTCACCGGAGATTCAAACACAGAAAGGATGAATGGGGTTTCTTGGGCTGCAAGGCTTCCTCGGAAGATGCCGTGATTTACTTGAACTGTGTTGGAACATTTGGAGTGGCCAGTGCCGGGTACTGGTGGGCGAGAATCTCAGGGGGCTCCATCCGCTTGATACACCATCTGACGGGGAGGCGAGCGCTGGAGATCCTGCTTTACGCGGATGATGTTGAAATGATCGGGGGAGACCGATCTGGCAGGCGAGGCATTGTATTGGCATACGCCCTGCTGGCATGTCTGGGTTTTCCGTTCAAATGGAGCAAAACGAAGGGCGGGCTCAACGTCCAGTGGGTGGGCTATGAAACGTCATACGCTACTTTCAAGTTGGGCCTCTCCGAGAGGAGGGCCAGCTGGTTGGCGACATGGACAGAAGAGCTGGCCAAGCGGGGTACGGTCACCTGGGACGACTTCGCATGTGGTCTTGGTCGTCTAGGCTTCGTGGCAAGTGCCCTTTCGTGGGAGAAACCGTTTCTGGGGCCTCTCTACTCGTGGTCATCGGCGACTCGTGGGAGGAAGGGAGCCCTGAGGCTCCCGATCATGTTGAGGTCCATCCTCAGCTGGATGTCGGTCCGCTTCAAGTCGGGTGACAGACTCCAGGCGCCCATTCCGCTTGCGGTGACGCCGGTCAGTGCTCGACTTTCCTTTTTCTCGGATGCCAAGGCGGAGGAGGGGCGAGCTTGGATTGGAGGAGGTTGCCTTGGAGGTCTTGGAGGAATGGGCCCCTTGGGCCTTCTTCAAGAAGGACCTTAAACGGTCCATTGCGAGCCTCGAGCTGCTGGGGACCTTGATCTGCGTTGATCTGCGTTAAGCTTTGGGGGCAAAGGATGAAGGCGTCGGGTCGTGGCATGGGCTACATCACTGGCGGGACGGACAATCAAGGCAATTCTTACGCTGTTGCCAAACTCATGTCGACAAAGTTTCCGATGCCACTTCTGCTTATGGAATTGTCGGGGACTCTGAGAAGGGATGAACAGTTCCTGGACCTAAGTTGGGTGCCACGGGAAAAGAACCAGTGGGCTGATGATTTGACGAATCTTAAGTTTGATCGTTTCCACCCGGAGAGGCGGCTTATCTTGGATGGGGCCCAGATCGATTGGATTGTTCTGGACTCACTTCTTAAGTCTGCTTCGGATTTCCACAGGGAGTTGATCGAGGCGAAAGAATCCTCGAAGAGGCCGGTGGGGAATCCATCAGGCGGGGAAAGGAGCCGAAAGAAACATCGATCAAGATGGTGATGCCATTCGGCTACGGCTTTGCGCGGGGTGATCCGCGTATGGACGGCGATGCTCGTTGGCTGTTGTGTTCGCCAAAGGCGCTACAACTCGGTGGTGCATACGCCCTTCGCCGAATGGGAAATCCGCTCCGATCTTTCGATCGCAAAAAGAGTGAGTGCAAGCGTGAGTCCGTTGCATGTCAGTCATGAGAGCCTGAGCATTTTCGGGAAATATATTTGACTGCCTTTTTACGACATAAGCAGATTTAGAACGGAGCGGAGCGAAGTTCTTAATGTTTTATACCCGGACGATGCTTTTTGGCATTGGCCAAAAACTTGATTTCGCAATCCTGTTTTTCAATCACTTGTTTTGAACCATTCTTTTGCAAGTTCCTTTGATGACTCTTATGCTCTTGGCATAACGAATGTTGTGACTTGCAATTCTTGATCAAGGGTGGGTGGGAGGGAGCGCCTCCTTGAATGGGCAAATTTGACATGGCCTGGGGGTGCTACTTTGAACAGGTTCTAACGGGCCCTTGAAACGAAACTTTGACGTTTCCTCTCAGAGGGCCCGGTCCATGGATGCTGACCTTTCTGGTCACCTGAGAAGGAAGAGGGACAGCAGTGCTTTGGATGATCACTTGATTTATGCTGTCCGTGTTTCTACCGCTACATCTGAGAAGCAGCCCTGGGAGAGGGGCGACATCCTGGCGCCTCGATCAGCTTTCTCGTCTCCCTTCCCGAGTGTCGGCAGGCCTCAGGTAGCTGCGCAAGTGCTGCCTGCCCCAAGTTCGTCTCCTGCAGGAGCTGTTACAACTTCTGTGGCTGTTAAAGTATTGGGCAAGCTGCCGGCTACGAAGGGGCCTAGTTGGGAGGAGAAATTGACTGATAACAGGCGGGCTGCAGTGGCAAAATGGGAGGCTCTTCTTATGGCTCACGGCGAGCACTTTGATTGCTACAGGGGAGTCAGTGGCGACGCCAGTGCGGGACGCAAGGCAGATCTGGTTCAGACGCTGAGGGACTGTTTTGCGGGCAAGGCGAGCGCGACTCTGCACTCGAGAGTGGGACCGATGATGCGTTATGTAAAGTTTACCAAATCTGCTGGTCTTGATGCTTTTCCTTTGACTGAGAGCGTCTTATATGTATTCATGGATCAGTATTGTCGGACGGCGGCGGCAACCTTTGGAAGGAGCTTCCTTGAGTCTCTGAATTTCGCTGTGCATGTCTTGGGCCTCGATCTGCATGTGACCATCAGTGGCAGGATACAAGGGGTAGCCAAAACCAGGTACCTTGAAAAAAGGAAAGCTGTCCAGAAGCCGGCGCTTACAGCGCTGCACGTGAGGACTCTTGAGAAGATAGTGATTGGAGGAACCATTGAAGAATACAGCGGCTTCGACAGACATTGTGCTGGGTTTTTCTGCTACACTTTGTACGCTCGGGCCCGGTTCTCCGATGCCCAAGCCTCGGCTAACCTCATGCTTGATGTCACCGAGAGCGACGACGGGCCTTATGGGTTCCTGGAGGCCTCTGTTACGAGGTCCAAGACGTCGTATACTCTGGAAAGAAAAACGAGATTCCTCCCAATGGTTGCTCCTATTAATGGACTGCTTAGGTTCTGGCACAAGACAGCGTGGATCGTCCCTTTCCCTATCCGTGCCGCCATGGTACCAGCTTCGCGCGAACCGCAGGATTGCCACTATGTCCCACAGTGATTGACATTACGACTTCTTGCCGATTGCCAATACAAGCACATGCGCCTGACCGTCCACTGCAGGTCGGTACTCAATTCCACCGCTACGATGATCAGATTATCAGTGGAGGATGGGCTCTCCTTAGACTTTTCCCACCTGGCCATCAACCTCGACTGGTATCACGCTTTCCAACAAATTATTCTGGAGGTTTTATGTGGGTCTGAATGTCATCCCGCACTCTATTTCCAGACCGATGTGGGAGTGGTGTGCCTCCCTACGTTTGTTCCACTTGACCCTGCCGCTTTTTGCCTTCGTGTTTTGCCAAGCATGGGAGACCGGTGGCTCCCAATGACGCAACCGGAAACCTCTGGAACATCCCATCAGACTGTCAGGTCTGCAGGTGCATGTCTACACCGTACGACGGGACACACTTCTGGATGACCATACATATGATCTGTCAAAGCTTGCACAGCAACTTCCCACTGGATGACATTGACTCCAACTTAGCAATTGCCCCGTTTGAAGTATTCCACAAAGCTGTCCAGGGGAGCCGACATGAGGCGAACCGGGGGACCACGGCCTTCCCACGCTTTACACCAACGTCAACTGACTTATCAGGTGATCCATCTTTTATCGGCGAGTGGTCACGAATTCCCCTTGTGCGTCGGGTGAGTTTTACCAGCGACTCTAAAAGCGTCCTTTCTGACTAAGCTTTTCCCCACGGTGGCCGGAAAATTTACCCTAGTCTTGCCATCGTCTCACCCGAAAAGGGTAGCGAAGAGCCCTGTATAGACATGTCCATCGTGTATGTAGTTTTGCCGGAACTTGTTCCCCAAGCTGTATGCTTCCGCCGACTTTATGTTTTCCCCGCACGTTAGTCCCATTGACAGGGCTGCTGACGAGCGGTCTCACTTGTGGACACGCTCTGCGCGACAGAGAGAGAGAATGGACTGCTTGATGAGTCTTGGGGGACTGCATGGTACAAGCTCATGAAGGAACAAGGGGTGACCCTTCGAGAGGGTTATCCGTTGCTGTCGTCGCCTGTCACTGGCGGCGGGTTCAGTCTGCTGCCCATCTCGGCCGAGCATGCTGCGAGGATTTTGCGGGAACTTTTGAGGCGCGAGCTCGGTGATTCCGCTGACATCAGAAAGCTTGGAACGCACAGCTTAAAGAGGACCTTGTTGAGCTGGCTTGCTAAATATGGAACTGAACAAGGCGTAAGGGCCATTTTGGGCTACCACAGCACTCACTGTGGAACGGAGTTGGTATATGCCAGGGACACGCTGAGCGGCCCATTGCGGCAGCTTGGATCCGTTGTGAGTGCTGTGGCATTGGATCACTTCCGGCCTGACAGCACGCGCTCGGGATATTTTCCCAGTCGCAAGGGTCGAGAAGATGCAGGCTTCGATCCCAATGCTCCGGAGCAAGAAGAGCTTGACAGTTCTTCCAGTGGAAGTGAAGACGAGGAGGCTCCGGATCACGATGAGGTCGAGAAGGCCTGTGATGCTCTGGCTTCCTGGGAGCCTCGGCCGGGTCTTCGTGATCTGATCGGCGAGGGTCCCGTCTTCAAGCATAAGACTACGAGGGTCATTCATTTGATGGCCAGCAGTGATGAGGGTGATCGCTTTGTCTGCGGACGCAAGCCGTCAACTAGCTACATCCAGACGGCTGTGCCTAATGTTTTGTTTCCCCTTTGCAGGCAATGCTGTCCTGACCAGGACGGGCCTTGAGTTTCACGCGAGATCGGCGAGAGGTCATTGCAACTTGAGCGGTTGTGCTACCGGTGAATGCTTCCGGCTTGCGTGGTATGTGAGGAGCTTCTGTCTTGATGCTGTGCGATTTGCAACCGTGCACCTGAGACGATCCATGCTCTTCTTTGTTAGGACCTGTAGCTGAGTGCTTGGGTCGTGCCATGGCGGCCTCGTACTCAGAGTCCGAAGCTGTCTTCAGCGACAAGGTCAGGACCTCGGGCCTGTCGGCTGCTGACCAGACTAATGACTAATGTGTTGGCTGGACTGAAGAATTTGAAACAGCTGGCATTTGTCAGCTCCTTCACTCCGGGACAAGCCGATGAGAAGCCTTTGATTGCGGCTTTGGATGCTCTAGTCAAAAGGGACACCAGTGCTGACTTAGCTGCTCAGGCGTGCTTCAGGGCTCTTTTCCAGCAGGCTTACGCCATAGTCACCACCGAGTTTAGGCAGGCCATTGAGCGCACTGAAGACGCTCCCAGTCGGTCTCTCAGCGCGCCTGAGCGTGAGGAGCGCTACACGCGACAGGTGAAGAAGTTAACCGGGATCAACATAAAAGGCGAGACTGAACCAAGTCAGGCCTTGGTTGATCTCTGCGTGAATATATATGAGTCGAACACTTTGCGCTACGTGGCCTGGGAGAAGTGCACTAGTCGGCTTGCCGAGGTTCAAGGCGATGCCAAAAAGGACACTCGATTCACACTCGATGCTCAGGGCAAGACCTTGAAGCTTGAGTCGAAGGCCCCAGATGACAAGTGTCAGGTCGACTCCGAGGTGCATCTTCTTCAGGCTTTACAGCGCAGAGCCCTTGCCCTGGACCAAGCCAATGTTGTTGATTATGCTGTCATCGATGTCTGGCATCAGAAGTTGCTTAGGGCGCGGATGCAGGAGGTGCCAGCAGGTCATGTCCGGCCCAGCTTCAAGCAGCTCTTGCGGGCCGATCAGAAGCTTTTCTCGGAGTTGCAGGACCGCTGTCGTGCAGGAATCCAGGCCACATCAGCCGGCCGCCCCTTGGATGGCCTGATTCCGTTGGTGATGGATCTGAGTGATGTGGCAGTCCTATTGCAATCCCTGCCTGGAAATGCCTCCTCCTCTTCTGATGTGCCTCCGGGTCCGTGGGTCTCTCGCGAGAGGCCGAGCCCATACACTCGAGAAGGTAAAGGCCGAGGCAAAGCGGGTAAAGGACGTGCCAAGGGGAAGGGCGTGCTGCCTAAGCCGCTTGTGGGTGGCTACAGTTCGACAAATGCTGGCGAACCCATATGCTTCGATCACAACATCAATGGATGCAGCCGGGTTGTCAAAAGCGGCAGATGTGAGAAAGGGATACATATATGTGCCCGATGTCGTCAGAGCGGCCATACTGCTGCTAACTGCCCCAAGAAGGAGTGACTATCGAGTGTGGTCGATGCGACTGCAGATGGCTGGGAATGTCCTCAGCTTGACTCATTGGAGTCTCAATCCCTGAGTTCGGCTAATGAGCTGGACCATGCAATGCCTTGCCCTGTGAGGCCTGCTGCAACATTGGTTGCTGCTTGTGCTTCACTCAATGAGAGAATGCATGATGCCGGTTCGCCCGTGGGCGGTGAACCTTCTGTTGGCGCGCGTGATTGTGCCACCGCGGATCCTCCTAAAAGGAAATCCAATGACAGCGACCGTGAGTCGCCGGGCAAGGCGCCTTGACTTGGAGGCCCTGAAGCCCTTGCCTCTGATTTGCACCGCAAACACTTGTTCGATGCAGCTAGTGTGCTTTCTCTCGACCTTCTGCCAAAGTCTGATATCACACGACTTTCTCAAGCCAAAGGCTCAGTCTTCGCGGTGGGGTCGTATTCTCACGGTCCTATCAAAGGTTTGCGGCATTTCACCCGAATTTATCCCAATGTCTGCCGATACTTGTGTGCTTGCGTCCTGCATGTCCTTCCGACGCACAAATTTTCAAGTCTGCTGATCTCTGACTCGGTTGAAAGTCAACCTCACACTGATCCCAACAACGGCCCGACTTTGAATCTCTTGATACCTCTGTCTCACTTTTCAGGTGGCTCACTGCGAGCCGGTGATTGCGATCTCGACTTCAGTCGGGGTGCCTGGGCTTTCAATGCTCGTGACGGCTGCCACGCCGTGGCGCCTTTTCAGGGTCGTCGGGTTATGCTCATAGCTTTCAGCACCAAGGGCGTTTGCGATTCCGACTCTGAGGTGTTGTCTCAGCTCCAGTTCTGTGGTTTCGCCCTTCCCAGCGCTGATGCTGTGATGCCCGCGTCTCCAGTGGGCCCTCTACCTGACATCAGGAGCTCTGTCGCTCATGAGCCCCTGAAAGTGCTGAAGCCTTCCCGGCTTGTTGTCCTCGACCTCTTCTGCGGCCGAGGTGCCGTGGGCCATGCGTGTGCCGAGATTGGGTTTAAATCCTTCTGTTATGGGTCCCAGTCTGCGGGCCCTGTCAAGCATAAGGTGTTGCAGCTCAGGCCCGAACGACAATCCACTTGGCAATACTTGCGGCGCCTTGTTATGGCTCACCGGGTCTATCATGTCCACATGTGTCTTGATCAGACCCTTAATTCTGCAGAGCTTGATCATGTGACATCTTTTGTCGCTCACGTGCTACAGCTACAGATTGGACTCACCGCTTGCGGCCCATCCGATAACTCGGCTTGGCAACGACCGCCGTTCAGTGACTCTTTGCCTTCGTGCGTTGGGCCTGGATGCTCACTCGGTCTCGGTTGCAAGGCTGTTCGCGTGGCCTCCACTGTTCTGGCCTGTTCTGATTTGCGTGCTTGTTCTTGCTCTTGCCCCGACAAGGCCTTTGTTCTCGGCAAGGTGTATGCGGAGAACCTGGCCGAAAATCTGCGCTTGCAGGCGGCTGGTGAGGATTTACTTGTTTCCCCCCAATCGGGGTTGCCAGATGCTAATCCTGCCGTGCACAAACAAGCTAAGCTCACAAAAATGCAGCCGATTATGCCCGAGTTCAAATACATGGTCAGCGTGCACGTCGCTGATTGCTCCCAGCTTCGGCTGGATGACAAAAAGTGCCTGCAAACCGCTTTGCAGTCCGTTCCCAAGGGTGCTAGGCTCCTTAGGCTCGCTTTTCTTGGGGGTGGTTCTCTTAAGCCTAAGTCCCTCTCCCCTTTGCCGAGTACCCCTGCCACCGCCACGTTTGGCGTGTTTCGGACTCCTGATGAGTTCGTTGCTGCCAGCTTGCGCCTCGAGCATCCGTTCGACGCTTTTGCACACGTGCCTGATGGTCTCATCAGGAATTTGGGGCGGCTGCTTATCGACGGTCCCTTGCCCGTCATGCGACGCCGGCTTGACCTACTTACCAAGTGGTCTGCGTGGGCCGATGAACTGGCCGAGCCTGAGAGAGCTCTTCATGCTTCGCTTGATCCTAGAGTTGGTGCGGTCCTTTCTGGCAAGAAGTTGCTGTTGCTGGATCGTATCGCCAAATCCCTTGACTGGCCAGACGAAGATCTTTTTAAGGACCTTAAGGAAGGGTTCGGCATAGTGGGATCCGCGCCTGTCACGGGGGTTTTCGCACCATCCTTTAAGCCTTCGGAGTTCACTGAGGAGGAGCTTGATCAAAGATCGAAGTTCTTGCGACCGGCCCTGTGGGCCAAAATCTCATCTTCAAAACCTGAGGATTCCGATGCCGAGCTTTGGAGCCAAACTCTTGCTGAGAGGGATCAGAAATCATGGCTGAGCGGCCCATATAGCTACCAGGAGCTCACTGAGATTTTGGGTCCGCACTGGATACCTGTACGGAGGTTCGCGATTTTCCAACGAGGGAAGCTGAGGTGCATTGACGATTTGTCCGAGAACAGTGTCAACTCGTCCTGGGAAGTGGCAGAAAAGATTGACCTGCGTGCGATGGACGAACTCCTTTGGATAACATCGAGGCTCGTGCAATCCATCGTTGATCGAGGATTTGTCAACCTTCGTCTTTCTTCTGGTGAAGTGATCAGCGGCCCTTTGCATACCGTGTGGCGCACGCGGCCTGAGTCCGCACGCCCAGTCTTGAAGTGCGTGGATTTGAAGTCTGCTTACAAACAGTATGCTATAAAGCCATGTGACAGCAAGAGGTGTGTGGTCAGCCTCCGGCGGCCCTCCGACGGGCAAGCCGTCGGTTTCATTTCACATACCCTACCCTTCGGCTCGCTCGCGAGCGTAGGGCAGTTCAATCGCGTTGCCCGCTTGATTCACCGCATCCTTATTGAGCTGGAGTGCCTGGCCTGTAACTATTATGACGACTACCCAGTGCTCGATGTGAGTATGCTTTCGGCCAACACCGAGAAGACGATCCGCAAGCTCATGCGCCTCCTGGGCGTGATCTGCTCGGAGGACAAGGAGTTGCCTTTTTCTTCGGTGGCCGATCTCTTGGGGGTTCGCTTGGACCTTAGGGCTAAGGATTTTTCTTGCGTCACTGTTGCCAACAAGCCTGACAGGGCTCGCGAAATTTCCGAGTCGGTCGCTAAAGTCCTATCGGATGGCCAGGTGGTGGTCAGAGAAGTCGACAGCTTGTTTGGAAGGATTCAGTATGCCGATTCCCAAATCATGGGCCGCAGGGGCAAACTGGCTTTGAGCACGCTTAGGAAGCTCTCGCGAGGCTCTGGAGTTCATCGACTTTCTCCTACTGATCGCGAGGCCTTTGCTGTCTTGCAGATGCGCATGGATGCTGGCGAGCCCAGGCGCATACAGGTTGGAAGCTCTGGACCCTCACTTGTTGTTTACACTGATGGCGCATGCGAGCCTGGTGCTGCTCGATCGCTCTGCACCGTTGGGGGAGTACTTTATGCTTCTTGGAATGGGGCTGTAAAGGTCCGATACTTCGGGGTCACGCTGAGTGACTCCCTGGTCGACCTATGGGCCGAGAGCGGCAAGAAGCACCTGATAGCCTGATAGGGCTTGTTGAGTTGTATGCTTTGGTGCTCGCGAGGTTCGTCTGGGGTCGACTCCTCGACGATCGAAGGGTGCTTTACTTCATCGATCACGTGGGAGTGCTCGCTGCTACCATCAATTGCACATCTAGGGACGAGCTGTGGAGGACTCTGCTTATACATCTTGAAAAGGCCGATGCCAAGCCTTGCATTGGGTGGTATGCTCGTGTGCCTTCCCAGTCCAATCCCGCTGATCCCCCGTCGAGGGGCTGCTGGATCTTTCCGATGTGCGAACATGCGATCCGGGACCATCCTGCTTGTTTTGCCACGGGCGAATTACTGCGCTCGTCTTGACTTGGGGATATGGTCCTCGCTTCGTGACAATGGTCACTGCCCAATGGGGCGGTTTATGCGATGTTGCTTGTGTCATGCAGGATGTGTTTCACGAATGCTCGAATCCCAGATCGCATGTGCGAAAATCCTCACGTTGTGCGTCCAATTTCATATGCTGTTTTATATTCGTCTTCCCACATAAGTGTATTGGGGAATACAGCGATGGATATACGATTGCATTGATTATGATTCGATTGCGGAATCGAGTTCCGGGAATAAGCAGATTTAGAACGGAGCGGAGCGAAGTTCTTAATGTTTTATACCCGGACGATGCTTTTTGGCATTGGCCAAAAACTTGATTTCGCAATCCTGTTTTTCAATCACTTGTTTTGAACCATTCTTTTGCAAGTTCCTTTGATGACTCTTATGCTCTTGGCATAACGAATGTTGTGACTTGCAATTCTTGATCAAGGGTGGGTGGGAGGGAGCGCCTCCTTGAATGGGCAAATTTGACACCCGCCCGCCCAACCCGGGGATATGGTCCTCGCTTCGTGACAATGGTCACTGCCCAATGGGGCGGTTTATGCGATGTTGCTTGTGTCATGCAGGATGTGTTTCACGAATGCTCGAATCCCAGATCGCATGTGCGAAAATCCTCACGTTGTGCGTCCAATTTCATATGCTGTTTTATATTCGTCTTCCCACATAAGTGTATTGGGGAATACAGCGATGGATATACGATTGCATTGATTATGATTCGATTGCGGAATCGAGTTCCGGGAATAACCATTTATATGATTCGATGTTGCGGGAACCTCTTTCTCGGATTGTTTACAGCTCTGCCATCATTGGTTATGGTGGTGGCCTGAAAGGGGTGGTGGTGGGATGGGTTTGACTTGCATGCACTTATTGGTGCCGGCTCCGGCGTCGCGACACATCTGTCAGATTGTCCTCGCACTATACGAGGGCACTGATTTCTTTCGCGCCGAGGCCAAACGGTCGGCCTTAGCAGCAATGCAACCCTGGGCTGAGGGATGGCCTGGTCTAGCGAGACGGCTTTACTTTCCCATGGAGCCCTTGGGTGAGCTCCCCATCACACGTCTGCGCTCTCCGTTCGAGGCTTCCATCCTACTTGGCCGGGCATCCTCCAGCTCCGATTAACCCTTGCCCTTGCGAGGCCCACCATGGTGGGAAGCTGGGCTTGGGTGCAAAAATTGAGCGGCGATATCTGGATCGAACATGTCTTTATTTAATGCGGTGTTCGGCGCGGTCGCTGACTGTTTTTTTTCTTTGCCCTTGCGAGACCCACGATTGGGAAGCTGGGCTGAGAACGCGTGGCGTCCTGCATGCTGCTGCTTGCCAAGCATGGCCCCTATCCATTGATACCTGGCCTGCTGTCATGGTGCAAAGATCAGAGTGTCTGCCCTTGCGAGGCGCACACTGGTGGGAAGCTGGGCTTGAATTAACGGTGCTCATGCACTTGCCACTGCGGCACGCTCTTCGCTCCTGTATGGATGCTTGGGCGCATCCTTCCACACCAAGAGCCTCTCCGTTTTGCCCTTGCGAGGCCCTCTTTGGGAAGCTGGGCAGAGAGTAACGGCCTGGATGGGTGTGTTTTATTGTCCGACCCTTTTTGGACGCTGGGCAATATGTGTGCCATTGCGCGACTCAGTCCAACTGGGAAGCGGGGCATCTGAGCGGTGGTAGTTGCTAGGTGCCGGGCACGTTTGCCGAACGACGTCTGCCGGCTAAGTCTGCAAGTCGCGGCCCGTCTCACCCTGATTGCGTACTCTTCTTCTTTTGTACAGTTGTTTTTGTTATTGGCTTTATTGTAGTTCTTGCTGGGACCGAGTGCAGCAACTGCTGTCTTTGAGGCCCGCCCACGCCCAAAAAAACATGTGTCTCTGTGTGTCTGATGTTGAGATTGGAAATCAGACCAGAAACTCTCAATGAATGTGTGCTTCTGGAGTGCAAAGCTTGTGTGAGAAGTTCATCCTTCTGAAGATGTGGCATGTAGAGCGGCACCTGGTGTGCAGCGCAGAGAAAAGAGTGTAGCACTTGGAGTGGCGCTGCGTCCGCCAAAAGGGAACAGGGAACTCCCCAGAAGTTGCTGCATACAGAGGGTCCACGGGAGCAGGGCCAGTGAATGGTTCCTGTGTTCACTCAGGGTTGTTTTGACAGTTCTCATCCCTGCTTGGAGCTTTTAGCGCAGTACTTTTCCATTCCCTTCATTGATGCCGCAGGCCCCACTGACAATGCCATTGACGCTTCCCGAGCATATTTCAACCTGGGAGCTTTCTCCTTTGACAACGGCACCAGGTCGGGGATATTTCAGCGCACTGAACAATTTTCCGATGTACTTCGTTTCTTGAACGCTTTCATGCAGCTTCAGTTCCCGGGTGCCTCTTGGAGCTCCTTGTGCGTGAGTCACAACGTTCGTACTCGCTTACACACGGATGCTGGCAACGCTTCAGGAACACTCAATCACACAGTTTCACTCGGCAATTTCAGCGGAGGGGAGATCTGGATTAGCCCAGCTTTGGACCCGTCTGCTGCCAACATCCCGGCCCCATTGGAGGCCTCATCCGAGGCCCACAGAGCGGAAGATGCAAGCAAAGGTGAATTGCGCGACACCTGGCATTCACCGCTTTCCTTTAGCTGTGAATCCCTCCATTGTACGATGCCAATCCAAGGAGACAGGTGGGTATTGACTGCCTACACTTGCAGGAACCTGCACAGCTTCGACATGAAGTCGCTTGCACATTTAAGGTCACTGGGGTTCCCATTGCCTCCAGTACCTACAACACTTCCTCAGGCTGTACCCTCTGCACCGAAGGACAACACGCACGTCGAGATCTTCTTAGATATCTGCTGTGGTGCCTCTCACCCACTTACCACGGCGATCTCATCATGTGGCATCATATGTTTGCCCATTGATCTGCTTGGTGAGGAGCAGCTGGACCTCTTGCACGACGACACGTACGATCACCTCCTTCGGTTATGCTTCTCAGGCATTGTACGTTTTGCTCATGGATCTCCGCCATGCAAAGAGTACTCCCGCTTGAAGCTACGACCCGGGGGACCTGCTGCTATCCGATCCCCGGAACATCTCAACGGGTTGCCGGGCAATACAGCTTCACAGCAGGAACGCGTGGTAAGCAGCCAGAAGCTTCTGTATCGCTGTGTATGCCTGCTTCGGGCCGCTTTCAACTCAGGTGCACATGTATCTCTGGAACAACCCACGAACGCGATGTCTTGGCTTGAACCATTCGTACAGGACATGCTTGCTGAGATACAGGCTTCACTGGTCAACATCCCGGCATGCTCAGTTGGCCAGGACATAGCCAAATCTTGGCTTTTTGCATGCAGCTTCGATGATATGCAAGCCTTGGCAGGTACATGCTCTCATTCAGAAGGTCATCCTTCTGTGGCCGGCGTCAGGGACGAGCTTGGCAACTTTTTGTCACAGCGCACCGCAGAGTACCCCGCCCAGCTAGCAAACCGCTTCGCTCAGCAGGCTGCTAAACTTTTCTCATCACGCCGGCCCTCCCACAGTGTTCCAACTTGTTCTTTGGCTTTCGCACTCTCTTCGATCCCCAAGAAGCCCCGGGCAGCGACCACTACAGCATCACAGGATGGCGGTGGCATCTACTCCTTGCCGGACTGGTCAATGGGCCCCAGATACCAGTCTGACAGCTTGCACGCTTTGCGCAAAGAATGGCAGTCCTGGCTCCTCTCGCACAGGATACCACTTCGCCTTCAGCAACATGTCGCAGCAGGCAGTAACAGCCCACTTTTCTCGGAAGAGGAAACATCGTGGCTGCGTGGATCCTTTAAACGCTTTTCGGACGCTCACTCCCCAGCTCAGGATTGGGATTTTTCTGTTAAGGAAGGTCAACCATACTGCCTGTCGGCACTTGAGCGTTTGAGCACCCTCTTGGGGGACAAAGACACAACTTTATTTCCCGCTTTGCAGAAGGGGGTCCCCACGGGCTTTGATGGGGATATCCCTCGCAGCCACACCCTACGTCCCCGCAGTGCAGAGGAAACGGAAAGCTCCGCAGATCTACTTATCTGCGAAGGCAACTGGCAAGGAGCCGAGGCGGATCCTGCCCTGCTTCAGGAGCTTATTGAAGAAGAGGTGTCCTCCGGCTACATCGAGGAAATGGACAGTCTGGAGGCCGCTTACGAAAGGTGGGGAAAAGATCGTGTTGCAGTTGGTAAGGTCAACATCGTTAAAGCTCCAGGCCGCGCTCCCCGCTTGGTGATCGATAACAGCATTTGCAACACGAACCAAAACTGCAACGTTCCGGAGCAGTTCTCCCTACCGAGCCTCCAGGACATTGAGGCCGCTTTCCCGACGAGGGAGGACGAGGAGCCCGCTTCAGGCTTCAGCTTAGATGTCAAGGGAGCGCACAAAACCTCACTTGTGCGGGAGCAAGACAGAGGCCTGCTTGGCCTCAGACAGCAGGACCGCCTCTTCTTTTACCGTGTCTGTCCCTTCGGGGCCACTTTTTCAAGCCACTGGTTTGCCCGCTTGGGAGGCTTCTTTGTGCGATGCTTACATCTACTTATCTGGCTGGCCCACGTACTGATGTTGTACGTAGATGATCTGCTTCTTTGGCAAAACGCCCGTGCACTTCCCCTCAGCGCCTCTTTGGTTTTGGCTTTCTGTTCATGCTTCAACATACCGCTTAGCTGGCGCAAACTGCAGATGGGTCCCTCTATAACCTGGATAGGGTGGCAGCTCGATTTCCACGCTGGCTGTTTTACACTTCCTGAGATAAAACGCTTGAAGCTGCTTTCGCAGGTGGAAGACTGCCTGAGGCATCGACTTGTCACCCGCAAACAACTGGACAAACTACTTGGCCTACTCCAGTGGATCTTGCACGGGCTTCCCGCTTTGCGCCCATGGCTGTGCACACTGTACGATGACATGCACAGACCACTTGGTACAAATGTAAGCATCAGCCCATGCTCCTGGCCAGGTATCCACACATACTTGGACGACAAGCTGCGCTTCACTGGGACACCGCCGGGCACCAGCATTTCTGAGGGGTCCACTTTGCTTTCAGCCCGGCACAAAACTCTACACAGCAAGAATGATCTCGCTTTGGTCCCGGTAAGCACAAAACGCATGTGGCTTCGTGTTACAGACCCCACTTCTTCGAAGCGACGCCTTTCGGAGGCCAGCAGAGAAACACTTTCCTTCTTTGCCCACTTGAGCTCCAGGGAATGGCGTCCTCGACCACTCCGACCACCACCTACCAGTTCGGTGGAGTCAGCAGCCGATGCATTCGGCAAGGGCAACGACTGTGGCGTTGGAGGTTGGCTACAGCTCCCAGGCGGCAGACTGCTTTGGTTTGCCCATCGCTACACCGTGCAGGACTTTCTGGAGCTTGGTCTGCCCATGCAACCCGATGCCAACCTGGACATCTCCAGCTACGAGACGCTTGCACAATGTTATGTGCTTCTCGCTTTCTGGAAGGCCCATGGATCTGGTCGCTTGGCTTTGACATTACCAGCTTTGAGCGATAATAGTGGTGCTGAGTCGGTGTGTAACAAGCTTTACACCTCTAAAGTACCACTTAATCTTTTTGTCCGCAAGCTCTCCATGTGGAGCTCTATTACCGGTGTCACTTTGGACTGCAGCCACATCGCTGGCGAGAAGAACCACGATGCAGACCTGCTTTCGCGGTGGGACGGTTGCACGGAACTTCCTGACAAGTTCTTGCCATCAAACCGCATCGAGCTCTACCTTTCTGAGTTCTGGCAGATCCGCTTTCAGGTGAAACTCTTTCCAGCTGACACATTTTTGAAGTGGCAGCTTCCATCAGCCACCAGTTTGGGCCCGACAAACCGAGGCTCCAACAAGCGGAAGTAGCTACGCTTTCAGGCTTCCTCACCTCACTTCTCCACTTGGCTTCTAGAGCGTCTGCGAGGTTTCGGCTTGCCAGTTTCGTGCTCGGGCTTTTCGACTGCTCCGCTGACGCTCCAGCTCAGCTTTCTATCCGGAAGGTCAAAGACCCCGGACACTTTCAAGGACAGAGCAGTCGAGTTTCCGGCAAGCCGAAAGAAAAGGAGAGAAGTGCGAGTGAAGCCACTGTTGACTTTTACTTTCCGCTTTGCTTCGCAGTAGCCTCGTAGCCTTTTGGTGTTGCGTGGTGTAGAACTGTTCTGAACGGTTCCTGTGTTCACTCAGGGTTGTTTTGACAGTTCTCATCCCGCTGCCCCGCTTGGGTTCAAGCATACACCACGCAACAGCTGCTTGCTTTTCAAAACTTTCCCACCCGCCCACACCTGTTTGGGCTTTTCGACTGCTCCGCTGACGCTCCAGCTCAGCTTTCTATCCGGAAGGTCAAAGACCCCGGACACTTTCAAGGACAGAGCAGTCGAGTTTCCGGCAAGCCGAAAGAAAAGGAGAGAAGTGCGAGTGAAGCCACTGTTGACTTTTACTTTCCGCTTTGCTTCGCAGTAGCCTCGTAGCCTTTTGGTGTTGCGTGGTGTAGAACTGTTCTGAACGTGTGGGGCTCGAGTGCACGCATTTAATCTTTACGGCCTCCGGCGCAGCTGAGCTTACAGCCGGCAGGTTTGCTGGCTGGGACATTGGCACGGGGACGTCAATGGAACCATCAACACGGATATGATGTGCAGGCTGCGCTCGCAGTCTGGCTGCCAGGGCAGAAACTCATCAGAATGGTACCCAGAGATTACATGATGGGTCATCATAGGCTGGAGGGCTGCCACGCAGAAATCCTCAGACACGACTTCGCTGATGTACCTGTCGCCTCCACCTATTTCCTCCATGGCTGGCGAGTGGCCGACGACTATCGTTTTGGGGTTATAGGCTGGTTTCCAGCTATTACAGGCCATCGCCGAGGATTTCATTTACCAAGCCGCAGCTACTTGGGCGCCACGACCGCCGCGAGTCAACCTTTCTGTGGGCTAATGACGAGTGTGTGGAAGATGCAGCAAACTGGCAGCTGTTATTGGCATATATTGGCATGGCGTGCGCACAGGTACGATTGTTGCCGTAGGGTATGCCAAGTTGCCTGCGATGGACCTGGACCCATGATCATGGGTGCAGTTCCCACCATGTTTAACAGCCGCGGTGCGGCTGGCAGGCAGGCATCCTCTTGGTTGGAGCTGCCACCGAGTTCATGGATTTGTACGCCCTGGCCATTCGGCTTTGAGGCAGCGGCCTTCAGCGGGAACAATGACAGCAATCTTCAGTGTGCAGCTGCTGCTGTCTTTGACAACCGTCTTCTACACACAGAGTCCAAGTTTCAGGTGATGCAGTTCTTGGTCAAATTTTGTTTTGCTTTGCGCGTCATCACAAAAGGGTGCATTGTTTAAAGCTTTACTGATCCATTCTGGGTCCAATTTTCGGGCACCAAAAACGAACTAAGAGTTTCCAATCAATGGGGTTCGTTTTTGGACCCACTTTTGGGGTCAATTTCCGGCTCAAAATGGAGACAACGAAACTCAAAAGATGCGGGACTTTTTGCTGAAAAGACACGCGTCGTGAAACTTAACAGAGTTTTGATCGACGTGCGGTGCAGCGGCTAGTGCTGACATGAAGTTGTTTCGACTGCTGTTTACAAACCGTTCAAGCGGTAGATGCCGGGCTTCTACTTTGTAAAGACCATGGATGCAATTGTAGTCCATTTCTTTGCAAAAAGTTCCAATGTTTGTCGATTGCCAGACCGTCTCAATGGGCGGAGATGTGGCCGCAGTGGGTGAGTCGGGCTTGAGGCGGATCTCGACCACTCGTTCGAGGCTGTTGCTCTCCTTTCGGCGCACAGGTGTTTGCCATGTGATCATGGTCCACGCTGATCAACTCAGCGTCACCCGAAACTCGCCTCACCACTAAGTGTTGCCGAAGCAACTTGGGCGCATCACACCAAGTTGGTCGATGCGCACGACGGTAATGAGGGCCGAGTGCTGCTGTGCAGTTTGGGTCATTCATGATCAGCTCTTTTTCTTTGCTTTTATCTTTAAAGCGTCTTCGTGTGGCTTTCAGCGAGGCTGGAAGCTGTTACGAAGCGAGCCGATGGGCTTTAGAACTGTTGCAAGCAGTCAAGCTGTTGGAAAGCTAGCCGTCGAACTCTGGAGCCGGCGCTGGAGAACTGTTAAGCAGCCAGCGTGCTGGACTGTTAAGCTGCGAGCCGGAGCACTGGAGAGCTGTGAGCGGTCGAGGCGTTGTTCGGCTGCGAGCCAGGCTGGGAGCACCGACCCGTCGCGTTTGGAGCTGTGAAGCAGCGGTCGCGCTCTGGAGCTGTTCGGAAGCTGTTGGGGAGCGAGCTGAGGCAGCGAGCTGGCTGGAGAACTGTTGGGCAGTGAGCGGTCGGGCCTGCAAACTGTCAAGCAGTCAAGCAGCAAGCCGGCGCGCTCCGGAGCTGCTTGGAAGCTGTTAAGCAGCGAGCCGTCAAGCTTTGGAGCTCTTAGGCAGCGAGCCGTCGCTGTTTGCCCCGAAAAACCCGTTCTACACGCTGTTGCAAGTGCTTGAGCCTTTAAGATGTTTGAGCTGCGAGCCTTAGGCCCTAGAATCGACAGTGCTTCGAAGTGCGTGATTCTCGTGTATTTTTCGAACCAAGCCTCGAAGCAGATACAAAGTAGAGAGCTGGAACACCCTCCCCAGAGAGAGAGAGCAGCATATTTTCGCCTGGAAGTTTTTGACGGCCGAACGGCGCTTGATGCGGGGTTCAAGTGGGACTTTTTCTGACCATGCTGGAGATCAGTGGGGGTGGCCGTTTTCTTCGTCAACGGTTGCCGTTGTACATCTTTGCATCAAAACTGAGTGAACTCTCGCATCTGAAGCTTTCGCACTCTCGCCCACCACGCCAGCGCCCGTGGTTTTCTTCGTCAACGGTTGTCGTTGTACATATACCTCTTTGCAGCAGATGCAGAAAGGTGAGGTGCGAAACTCTTGTTAATTTGAGTTTTCCTCCTGAGGGTGTCTTAGTGCGACTTTGCAACATCCCCGCAACCCTGTTCGAACGATGAAGGCCGACTCTATTATGACTGTGGGATATGTGGGGTTACGGGGATGTCAGAGTGTTTCTGTAAAAAGGATTTAGATCGGTTCTCTTTTTTGGTCGCAGCCGGGTTTGAAAGCTTGTGAATCCGGGCCTTTGGGGCTTGGTGCTAAAAGGTGCCTTTAGGTCTCCTGGGGCTGTAAGGCTTCAATTGGGCATTGGACGCCCTAAACCCTAAACGCTAAAATTTGAAACCTATACTATTGCATCAAGGCTTTGGGTTCTTGCTTGCAGTCACGTTTTCCGAGTTCCTTGTGGACAAAAGCAATCATCGTGATGGGAGTGGTAAACAGTACAAACAAAAACAAGCGTCCCAACATTCACCACCATCATCATCATCATCAGCATGACAGTCATAATGACCGCCGGTGCTGCCGAACTGAGTAAGTGCCCCGTTCGCTTTGTTATCTTTCGCGTTTCGTGTTTGCTCTCCGGAGCTTTCCCGGTAGGGGCACCTTTCGAGACCTTCGGGGTCCTTCTTGTTCCCCGGAGCTTTCTTAGGGCATCTTATTTAAGGTCCTTCTTATTGAGGAGGCTGGTATTTCGAGAAGCGGCTGGCGGCCTAAACCCAAATAATGAGGCATAAATTATCAATCACGGTCCCTGTTTTAGGCATGGGTGAGGTCCGGGGAATGTTCGGGCGGTTCGAATGTCTTTCGGACTCTTTGAGTGCCGGCGCTTTACAGGCCATTATCTGCCTGAATTACTTCAACCGGTGCTGTGCTGCAAGGGTTCGCCTTCAACCATTCAGCGACTCCTCCAACACGCTTTGCTCGGATGCTTCACGTTCTATGCTGAGGCCCTCTTTTTGTCGAACCTACCTCCTCTTCCGCCGAGCTCGACCAGCCCTTTCAAAATCCTTTTTCAGCTTCACTCCCAAAAGAAACCCTTGTAGACTTGTTAAGAATCTTCTCGAGCCTCGGTGAAAACATCACACATATCCTCCTTTCCGGCTTGCTCGGAGGGCAGCTTGGAAGCTGATCGCGAGAGGTTTCGGCCGTGGCCCTGGGCAGGGAGTCTACGGTTTGAGATTTACCGGCCAGTTCGGGCCAGTTTGGGGTTGAGGGTCTGTCAGCGTGGCTTTTTGGCTGGCCTGAGGTCGTGGAGCAGAACGGAGCCCCTGCCGGTGCTGCCGAGACGAGCCCGCGCCTCGTTCCTGTTGTCCGACTTCCACTTTTCCTCTTTCTTCCTCTTCGGAACTGTCCTTCCCCAGCCTACCCATTTCGGCTCCAGTACACTGCAAGCTCCCGTCCTAAACTCAGAGGGATGGCGTCAGCCATGCCGTACGTCAGTTTCAGCGAAATCAAGAATGAGGCAAAGAAGCAGCAACGAGCAGTGCACCGTGCGCTGCGTCAAGGCAGAGATGTGGAGACAGTGCGTGAACTACTCAATGAGCAAAGCGAGAAGTACGGCATGAGCCGCTTCCGGGATCCCGAGCAGTACCTGTCCAGTCATGGAGCAAAGTCTCACAGGGAGGTGCTTTGGAACCAAGTCGAAAACGAGACGAGCGAAGAAGCGGAAAGTTTGAAAGATATCCTTCGGGGCTTCGGCCTCTGCCCTCCCGAAGAGGACCGGGACCGACCAGCCTTATGCCTGTAGATACATGCAGAGTCCGGTTGCAGCAGGAAGCATCGTAAGATGTCGTAAGCAGTAGGCATGTTGCAATTTAGCTGTTGCGCCGGAGCCGTGTTGCGGTTGGGGTTCGGGTGCCGTTGCCTCAATGAACGGCCGAGCAGGCATAGTGACGACTACAGTTTCTATCCTTCCTCACATATGCAGGCACAACTGTGAGGGCTTTTCATGACGACAGGGCAGGGAAGGCAGAGCTGCCATCCTCGGATTGAACCGAAACCCATTCGAAACCAGACAGCACCCACACACTTCCGGTTCATCACACTTCCAAGGAGAGGGTGCCTACACCCTGAACGTCCCTGGAGCCTAAATCCTCAACCCTAAATCAAGCGGGCCTCGACGGACCTAAGACTCAATGACACAAGAGTCCATTCCGGATATGGAAGTGTCATCCCCTTTCTTCCAAAAGTGAAGATCGCGCGGGATGCATGCCAGATTCTGCACTTTCATGTTTTCATTTTTTGCATGGTAGAAGCCTCGCTATCTGACCACCGAACGCGCGCGCATGCTTGAAGCACCCATCGGCACGGCAGTATTCGTGCTGGACAGACGGCCAGTTAGAGATACAACTACCTGGTGACCGCCATGCATGAGTGAACCGGGAGAAGGGTGTTTGTATGTGTGTGTGGGGGGACGTCTGTAAATGCAATTTTGGTTTTTGAAAGCCCCTCCCCTCGTAAGCATGGGGGGTGTAAGGGAGACAAGAAGAGCAAGGAGACAAAACAGAAGAACTCACGCCGTGGGTCCCTAGAGTTTGTTTTCACCAGTCATGTCACGTGAGGAACACGCCAGCACAGCATGACACCGACTTTTCTTGGTGTTTCGGAAGGTCTGCAGGTTCTCACGATAGCATGGACTCGGCTCGGCTCTTAAAGCCTGGAGAACTCGTGGCTTTGCAGCTTGCAGGTGTTTCCATACACGTCATGAAGTGCACAAAATTAAGGGTCTTTTCAGCCTCAGCTCTACTAAAGAAGAGGATCTCGTGTTTTCTCTCAGGACCAGGACCCCGTCTAAGCTACCCACCCCCCACGAGACTGTTCGGGGAATTTCTTGCAATCCTGCCTGAACAATTCTGTGTCAGCATGTTGCAATTGCACTTCGAAGATTCAGCGACATGCCTTCTGAGTTTTGATGAAAGTTGATCGTAACGTGGCAGTCACCCCCGAAGACAGGTTGAACTCGATCGCATCTGCGATCCAGCTGCACCACCAACTCAGCGGAACTGGAAGAAGGCTCTGTACTACCTGCATGGGAAGCTGCAGCAGTGCAAGAACCACAACGAGTCGACAAAGAGACGCTTGGAGTCCATTCTCAGGCAGGTGCAGAATAACCGCCCCCTCCCTTACGACTGGGAAGCTCGAGCTGTGATTCCAATCCTTCAAAAGCTGACTCAGCTGGTGCACTCTCTCGATCCAGATTCAGATGAAAAAAACCAATGGGCCGAGCGATGTACCCCGTTCGTCTGGAAGGCTCTCGAGTTGATCTGCACGGCAGGGTTGGAGAACAGCATCGAGAAGAGCATCGGAAAAATGTTGAGCATTTCCTTCGATGTACTAGGCAAGATGGGCTTCTCATGGTATGCAGGGCGATTTCTCTGCGCCTGTGAGCCGTACCTCCAAAGGGACCACTTGGAGGGGATGGAGCCGACGGAATTGGTCACCGTGACCCATGGGCTCGCGAAGCTCAACTTGCATCGTGCACATTGCAGGGCTTGGCGGCTAGGAGTTCAAGAGGAGATCGCGCCCGTGTTGCGCAAGAAGCTGCGTGACGTTTTGTATGTTCCTGCGCAACACAAGTTCTTGGGACACTTGGGCAACGATCTGAGCAAGATTTTTGCTGCAGAAAAAAAGATGGAAAGGTTTCACTGGCCGCTCCTGGAGACATGCATGGATTGCACAGAGCGCCTGGAAGAGTTGAGCCGGCTCAGCCGGCGGCGTCTCATCACAGACAGGATCATGGGGCAGCAGGGCCTCGCCGATGCCGCCAAGGCTGTGAACCTCTTCGTCTTCAGGCCCACTGAATTCGAGGCTGTGCCGACGACTCCTTCTTTGTCCGAGGAGTGGCTGATCGCTTTGCCAAACCGCGACAACATAGAGGACAATCTGGAGAACTGGAAGAATGCTCTCACCTCCGCAGTAAGACTGTTCTTTGAGGTGGTGGGGCGTCGAAATCTCAGCGAAGAAGACGTGAGCAACATGCATCGAATGCGGCGCTGGTTGGAAAAGATGGGCATCAAAGCGATGCCCGATCTCGACATGAAGACGGTCACAGTCTTGCTGAAGTCAAGCCTGCAAGTGTGGAGGAAATACTCCCTGCGTCCTGATGAAAGGTTCGTCCAGTCGGCAGAACGAGAACAGAGGGCCGCGACTGGCTCCCGAGAGGAATGGAACAACTTTCACAGAGAGCTCACGAAGTACCACGAGTACCTACGAGTTGCAGGCCCATGAGGTGCGGAGTGAGAATTGGAGCTTGTTTGCCATCCTCGTGGTTCCGTTGAATCAGTGTCAGCATTGCAGGCATGCTTTGAGGTTCAACGACGGCTCTGCCGGTTATAGGAAGTTGATCGCGAAGTGGCGATCGGCCCTGAAGTAAACCCACTTGTATGGGACAAGCCTTGTCTAATTTACGCCCCCCAATGAACATTTTGTTCGGAATCACTATCGCCGTTCCTAAAGAACTGAAGATTGTGAGGGGCCTAGGTCCGATTCTGCGCTTTTTCTGCTCTCACTTTCTGATCTGCAGGCTGGCCTGCAGCAACTGGGCTGAGCTGAGATCTCCCCGACTTTGAGATGCTCGGGTGGACAGTGCCGCCTGGATGTACCCATAGCTTTCGACGGCCCGCGAAGGGACAGGCGGGGCCGATGGAAAGCATGCCGTTGAGGCAAGAATTAGTTCGCAGAGGTGTTGTGTAGTGCGAAAGCGCATCCTCCTGGCTTGCAGCAGCTGACCTTAGAACTTCCCGACCAAGGCTGTGAGTGGAACCTTCCCGCCTCAGGCATGCAAGGAGCCCATCGGATGAGAGCTTTTTATAAACACTTACAGCCGAGGCTTTAACAATCAGCAGCTTTCGATGGCCCAAGTGCAGACTGGGTCCAACGTTTGGCCAGATGTGTTTGCCTTTGTATCATAGGTCCCAGCCTCTACGTTAGGCGTTGAAGCAGGCGTCGCTAGTCGGGCAACTCTGTAATCTAAGCCCAGACCTTATAACCCCCAAACCCCCAGACCCCAAGCCCCTAAACTTGCAGACCAGAAACCCAACGCAGAAGAGCCCGGCCTGCGATGGCATGACGTGTAGTGTAGGAATTCCGGTGGTGAGTCTGAAGTGACTGATGACACTGCTGAGAGGGCCACTGAGCAACTGGTTGCAGATGGGGCCACATAGCCTCATCTAGCAGCTAGCACCTTGATGCCCATTCGACGATTGTCTTTGTGTTGAAGGTGTTCTGCATCATCTTGTTGCAGGACGGCGCTGTGGTCTTGTGCATGATTCACGTTCATGTGTGGACAGCTGCCAAGATGCTGCAAGCCAAAGCGTAAACTCGAAATCACAACGACATCCCTAATCCTTGGATGGAGACGTTGAGCGGGCATCTGCTCGGTGGCCCTTTCTCGGAACGTCGGTGCAGCTTCCCACTGCGTCGACGGTGCCGTAATTCGCCGCGAGGGGGCGACTGGAGGAAGTAGTTCTGCCCTGTTGTGTTGTGGTTGGCGCTCAAACTTATAAGTTTGTAACCTCATTACTCTACCGTTCCTCCGCTCGCCCTTTGACGCACCTAAATCTTTATCTCCCCTCTAATCTCTCAAGTTGCACGGTTGCACGTTATCCCCCATCTCAGTCCTCGAACGGGTCGACGACATCCTCCAAAAGGGCTGCCTGTGAGTTGATGCGCTAATCTCATCGCTAGGGGCCTCAGTCCACCTTGGGGAGAGGTTGGGTGCACCAGGTGTTGCAGAGCTTGTCTACTGTTGTGCTATAGAGGCTAGGAAAGTTTAAAAGCATCATGAGCAGATCTTTGAAGTCTGATTTTTTGCTTGTCACTCCTCCGAGGCCGACTCGCTGTCGTCGGAGCCCACGGAGAGAAGGCCGAAACCCTATGCTCTAAGCCCTAAGCCCTAAAGCCTAAACTCCAAAGAAAGGAGGTTCCCTATGGCCGACACGTGGGTGTTATTTTGGTTTCGGATGAAGACACAAACTGTGATACTGATTGAAGGAAGCAATGAACACAAGTACGTTAAAAAGTGTACGAAACTAAGTCAGGCTAATTTAAGACAGGTTAATTTATGGTAAACCATATTGGTCCAATCAATATACGGAGATAGATGAAGAACTCTCTCGCTTTCTCTCCACATGTGTTTATGTCTCCATTACATCAATCTTTTCTCCTTCTCTACGCTACATTTGTACCATCAGTGTTACTACTTTTTAGGATCAGGTTTACTCGTTTCGGGTTTCGAGGCTTCGAAGATTTTTCGAAGACAGGTCTTACACTCCAACCCCGCACCCCGAAACCCTAAACCCTAGACCCGGAAACCCTTCAACCCGAAGCCAAACCTTAAACCCTAACAAATCTGCAAGAAGCGGAGGCCATGGGCGTCGCCGCGACGGCGGAGAACGTGCACTATGCACTGCGGGCTGCCTTAGGAGGGGCCCGGAGCTCGTCGTTTTAGGGTTCAGGGTTTAGGATATAGTCATTTAAGGTTCAGGGTTTAGGGATTTCTCTGGGGACTTTCGATTTGCTGTGTTACCTTAAGCCTTATGTGTGCTTTGTCCCAAAGGCCGCTACAAGCCGAAGGAACTCCCAACCCTGAGGCGTTAAGTCCCTAATCGCTGAAGCCTAAAGCCTAAACATGTGGCTCAAGGCCCGGAGTGTGTAGATTGGGTACTGAGCGAAGGGGCTTCCTAGGGGGCCTTGAAGAAAATGGTTCGGTGATGTGGGGTGTAGGGTTCCGAAGTGCTGAGGTGGTTGACGCGGTGATGTGGCCGTGCCTGGCATCAAGGCTTTCCGTTTGCACAGCGCACCGAGGCTTCCCATTTGCCCAAGGCCACGTTGCTGGATTCGCGACTGCATCGCGCCACCCGAGCTCAAGCAGCGCACCCACTTGACCGATTGCCTCGGGTCTGCCGGGTGGGTCGCGTGGGGCAGGTGCGCAGGTGCGAGCGCTGAATGCGCTTGAGGGGAGAACCACGATTGAAACTCCACAAACGCAGGCTGTTGCGACAGGAGGATCTGCGAGTTCGCATGTGTCGTTCAGGTGACCTCACCCTGGAATCCTGCACCAAGGTTTCCTGGTTCGAAGGTTATGCCGATGCAGGGGCCAGACCCTGTTTCGTTGCAGGTGGTTGGGCCTCAGCCACACTGTGAGCAGCGGGCTGCTGCACATGCTTGGGCAAATGCCTGGAAACGTCCTTCAACTTGACCTCGGACAGCTTAAGCTGACAATCACAGGGCAGTCTACACAGTGACGAAGTATGAGGACGTTTTTTGCCCACGCTTGCTCTGGAAGTCCCACTTGCGCCCCTCGCAGGCGTTTCGACGCCGCGCCTCGCTCCCACAAGCGATGAGATCACAGGCATCGCGCTGAGGGAACTCCGCAGCTTCGCAATGTGCATGCTTCGCATGCACGTGCTCTCCAAACACCCCTCGATCCCTGCAGCTGTACTTCCATTTTCCACACCGATGAGCCAGCTGCCTCCCCAAACAGGTTTTAGCATCGGGATGCTGGAATGATTGGGAGGTACCCTCAAGCATGCGGCACGTGTGGCATCCTCTGGATGTGCTGCGTCAGCGATGGACCACGAGATCCATTGTACCCGAAACCCTAAACCCTAAACCCCAGCTGTTACGAAGCCCCTAAAACCCGACCCCTTTACCGGGATTTTTGCAGGGCACTCGGATTTGAAGGGCACGCTTGCAAAAGGTGCCAGCTCGAAACAAGGCTGATCTCCAATCAGTTTCGGGGCGTATTATAAGGGCGGGCTAGAGTAGCTGGTGGTTTGTTCAACATTGGTTCTCTGTTCTTGCTGCCGTGGTCTCAGGAACCTTCACATTAGCACCAGGCCCCGCTTGGTCGTGCAAGCCTTGGAGACGTGGTTGAGCGATCTAAACTCAGCCCTTTAACGGTTCAGAGCGGCTGCGCGCTGGAAGCTGTTTCTGAGCATGTTTCCTGAGGATGCTCTGACATTTCCTGCGATGCGAGATGCCTGATGGTTCCACATCCCTTTTTAGCATTCGGTTTAAGGTTTAAATTTAGGGTTTAGGGACACCCGCAACCACCGGAGATTGCAAGGTTCCGGAATGAGAATCTCCGGGCAGTGCACAGCTTGATTCCGGGAGCTCCACAGACACGGTGTGAAGGTCGAGCACCCTAAACCCTGAACCCTAAACCCTAAACCCTCAAAAATCGAGCGATCCTAAACGAACCCTTAAAGTCGCCCTTTTGAGGGCCCCCCATAGCAAATCCCCAGGTCCTCGTTGAAACACCAGTGCCTTTGGCGATTTCTCAGCCCGTCCATCTTCGCTTCCAGGAGGCCCAGGCAGATCTTGCCTGGTTGTGGAGGATGCCGGCTTGCCGTCTTTTAGGGTTTAGCGTTTAGGGTTTGGGCCTAAAGTTTAGGGTCTAACCCTAAACCATAAACCCTCTGGTTTCTGCCCTTACTCGTAGTGTGCCTCGGATGCTGCGTGGATCGCACAACCAGGATGCAGGGCCAGGGTATTTGTCGGGCTTGTGCGGCCCGAAGAATTCGCCTTCTTCGTCCCGGCCCCTAAAACTCTGAACCCCCAATCCTAAACCCTGAGCCCCTGCTAGTGCAATGGTAGTATGCAGTTTCATGACTTATTGTAGTTTGGGCACAGGCCTTTCGGACAAGGCACGGAAAAAAGCAGGGCCAAAGAAAGGCCACAGCGGCAGATCTGTGCATGGCGACCGATGACCCCATGGATCGTGAGAAATCTAGGGCATATTGTGCCAGGCTTACGAGGAATGGACGCTTTGGGGGCCGCCCGACAGCTTCAGCGGCAGGGAAGCCAGCCAAGGAAGGTGTTACTGGCAACGGCGCAGCGCCAGTCGTGCCAGTACGAATGCTGCGTTTGATTGCGCCTGGCAAGCCCTTCTTTGGCAGCTGCGCGAGTTCCGGTGGCGGTGTGGCTGTACACTCTAATGATGCTAATGCCCATGTAAGCACTGCAGCCAGCTAGCACACACCAGTCGTACAAGTTACCAGGCAAGTAGTGCATGCAACCACCGCTGGTCGTCATTGGCGACTTTCCGCGGCCGGCCGTCGTGTCCGGGAGACTCAAGCAGATCTCGCATGGTTGTGGAGGATGCAAGAGGCTACACCTTGGCGCGTGCCCGTTGGTGCGGTGAGGCAGGCTGATCTTGGCACTCTCTCTGTGCGTGGCGGGGTCAACCTGACTAGTGTTATGCGACAGCTGGATGTAGTCTTTCCATCTCCTCTTCCTGTGAAGTTATGACTGTTGCGGAGTTCCCACTCAATGAAGGAGACGTATGCGCTGCACAAATGTTTCCTCCGAACCAGTGGCCCCTAGAGTCGGCTGATGTGGGATTGCTTGGATGGTTCCTTTGGGCATCAGTCTGACAAGGAGGACTGTCGAATGTGGCTACGTTTGTGACCATGTGCAGTTCGGAGTCCGGTTTGTGATATGTTTTCATCAGTCGTACTGTGTATGTAAAGAAATTGTCTGTAAGAGGTCGGCCGATAAATGCAAAGATCGGTGCAGTGTGAAACTGCAGCATGTTGCCATCCTTTGAAGGGTGCTCGTGTTCTTGTTCTGCATGTATGGTAGCTCGAACTCTGCGCAGTTTTTCCTTCAATTACAGGGCAAGATTCAACAAGTAGCAACAAGGTTCGGTATGACATTACTACACAGAACAGTACACGTCATAATTCATCGTAATCACGCTCAGGGAACATAGTCATGATCACCACAGCAGCCATAGTGCCAACGCCAAGTGTGGTCGGAGAGATCTTGTGCATCAGGCTCAACATCGGAGTGCCCAGTACGACCGCAGCATGGGTCGCTAAGAACAAGCGCTGTGAAAGCGTGTGTGAACTGAAAGAGAAGCTTCAGAAACCAGGGTTGAGGAGGCAGCTTGAGGCAGGGGCTGGGCGCGTCCTTCGTTCTGCAGTGTCACCGGACTGAGACATTTGTTGTGCGGGCCAACGCGAAGCCTATCTCAGCCTGCAGTCGGCATCATGGCCTCCAGCGCTGCGCTGTCTCTCCAACTTCGCCTGCTCCCCCAATCGAAGCGTAACTTAGCAAAGAACTTCCACAGCACCCTCACAGCCCTTCGGAAGATATCACCACTTGCCTACTGCGAAAGCAAGCTTTAAGCTGGGCGTGATGCCACGCTGCGAGTGCCGCCAAATCGCCGTTCCGGGCGGCTTCGGGCGCTATCGTGACTGTCAGACGATGTGCTCACTGCAGATTCTGGCGATTGCTCACCTTGCTCGGAGTAGTGCTGGTGGTCTGTGGCCTCTAGCGGCTTCGCGCCCGGGCCCCTGCGCAGAGCTCGGCGCCTCTTGCATCAGGGATGAAACGGGTTGTATTTTGGATTTGGATTCCACGCCTGATGCATGAGGCCCACGGATCCAAACACATCAAGTGTTCAAAGTAGTTCTGCAACTTGCTAGGAGGTTCACCACCCCTAACTCTGTGAATCAAGACTTGTCGCTGGCATGCTCTGTTACTTCTTCAGCACCGGAATTCACAGTGTGGGAATTCAGAGTGCGAGGGTGGAGCTCTTCATTTGCTGGTTGCCGGAGACCTAGCCTCTCTCAGGCTGCAGGCGTTATCGCCTCCAGCGCTGTGTTGTCCTTCCAAAGAAGGGCCCCTGAAATTCTTGAAGCCAAGGTCTATCCCTTACTTAAGGAGTCTTCCCTCGCACTGTTACTGTTCAACGCATCTAAACCGCACAGTGAGTGACACTCTAGAACATTACTGAAAGGGGTCTTGGGCTCGAAAAAGGGCCATACTTGGTCAGCACATTCCCTTGCTGAGAAACCAACCAGGTTATGCCACCAAATGCGGTCATTGTCCAGCATATCAGTTGCAAAACGAGTGCTGAGGAAGGAGAGCGTCGACCTGAGTGCTGGTCTCACTTCATGGGGCAACCAACTAAGGAGTAGAGCATAAAGGTCAAAAGTCTGATCCACCTGATGCTCTCCGCGGAACTCACGAACACGTGCCGGCACTTGTCTAGGCGGGTGTTCCACTGCTAGTTGCTGCACCACGTAGTGCATACACGAGCCCAGTTAAATTTCAATCATTGTTTGTGCCCCTGGGTCTCGCCACAATCCTGCGGCAGCAGCCGAGACTTCAGGGCTGTTCTGTGTCCGCGTCTTTCTCTTGCAGGCGAGTACCCTGCAGAAGTAGTTTGCAGGCCACCGTAAAGACTTCTCGGGCTCTCTTGGCTATGACTCAGTTGCGTCGGCGACTGCTTTGGCAAGTCTTTCGCAGCCTCAGCATGCCTCAGCCTTCCATGCAAAAGAGGCAGATGTTGCCCGGAAACCGGGAAGGGGAGATCCTTCTTTCGGGATCTTTCACAACACTTCAAGCCCGAATGCGAAGGATCCTTTGCCGAAGCTCCCTCGTCGCATATGTGGCGCAGGACCTCGTCTGTGGTGCCAGATGGGGCACTTTTTCGAAAAAGGCCCATACTCGGTCAGCGCATTCCTTTGCTGAGAAACCCCTTCATGCCCTAGCCTCCCTCAAACATGCTCTTGCCCCAAGCACTAGTGCTAGCAGCACGGGCCCTTCAACTTGAGGTGGAAGAAGCCGCAACTACCACAGGCAGGCAAAGTGCACAGCAGCCTGTGCCGAGGCTCACTCGCACATGGTGGAAGTAGTTTGCAAGCCGCAGAGACTTCTCGGGCTCTCTTGGCCATGACTCTACGCTTCCTAGGTCCGGCAGGGCTTCGACTGTTTTCCGCCGGAGGGGCTGGAGTCTCACAACAGCACTGCCCGGAGTCGAAGCGTCGCTTTGCGGCGTCCGAAGGTCATGTATGGCGAGGTCCTAGGTTCACCTTTGTGCGCGCCTCAAAGTAGGCTTCGGGCGCTATCGTGACTGTCAGACGATGTGCTCACTGCAGATTCTAAAGATTCCCCACCTTGCTCGGAGTAGTGCTGGTGGTCTGTGGCCTCTAGCGGCTTCGCGCCCGGGCCCCTGCGCAGAGCTCGGCGCCTCTTGCATCAGGGATGAAACGGGTTGTATTTTGGATTTGGATTCCACGCCTGATGCATGAGGCCCACGGATCCAAACACATCAAGTACTCAAAGTAGTTCTGCAACTTGCTAGGATGTTCACCACCCCTAACTCTGTGAATCAAGACTTGTCGCTGGCATGCTCTGTTACTTCTTCAGCACCGGAATTCACAGTGTGGGAATTCAGAGTGCGAGGGTGGAGCTCTTCATTTGCTGGTTGCCGGAGACCTAGCCTCTCTCAGGCTGCAGGCATCATCGCCTCTAGCGCTGTGTTGTCCTTCCAAAGAAGGGCCCCTGAAATTCTTGAAGCCAAGGACTATCCCTTACTTAAGGAGTCTTCCCTCGCACTGTTTCTGTTCAACGCATCTAAACCGCACAGTGAGTGACACTCTAGAACATTACTGAAAGGGGTCTTGGGCTCGAAAAAGGGCCATACTTGGTCCTGGGAATTCAGAGTGCGAGGGTGGAGCTCTTCATTTGCTGGTTGCCGGAGACCTAGCCTCTCTCAGGCTGCAGGCATCATCGCCTCTAGCGCTGTGTTGTCCTTCCAAAGAAGGGCCCCTGAAATTCTTGAAGCCAAGGACTATCCCTTACTTAAGGAGTCTTCCCTCGCACTGTTTCTGTTCAACGCATCTAAACCGCACAGTGAGTGACACTCTAGAACATTACTGAAAGGGGTCTTGGGCTCGAAAAAGGGCCATACTTGGTCAGCGCATTCCCTTGCTGAGAAACCAACCAGGTTATGCCACCAAATGCGGTCATTGTCCAGCATATCAGTTGCAAAACGAGTGCTGAGGAAGGAGAAGGTCGACCTGAGTGGTGGTCTCACTTCATGGGGCAACCAACTAAGGAGTAGAGCATAAAGGTCAAAAGTCTGATCCACCTCCTGCTCTCCGCGGAACTCACGAACACGTGCCGGCACTTGTCTAGGCGGGTGTTCCACTGCTAGTTGCTGCACCACGTAGTGCATACACGAGCCCAGTTAAATTTCAATCATTGTTTGTGCCCCTGGGTCTCGCCACAATCCTGCGGCAGCAGCCGAGACTTCAGGGCTGTTCTGTGTCTGCGTCTTTCTCTTGCAGGCGAGTACCCTGCAGAAGTAGTTTGCAGGCCACCGTAAAGACTTCTCGGGCTCTCTTGGCTATGACTCAGTTGCGTCGTCGACTGCTTTGGCAAGTCTTTCGCAGCCTCAGCATGCCTCAGCCTTCCATGCAAAAGAGGCAGATGTTGCCCGGAAACCGGGAAGGGGAGATCCTTCTTTCGGGATCTTTCACAACACTTCAAGCTCGAATGCGAAGGATCCTTTGCCGAAGCACTTTTTTGGATTGTTTTCAGCCGCCGGAGGGACTGGAGTCTCACAACAGCATTGCCCGGAGTCGAAGAGTCGGTTTGCGGCGTCCGAAGGTCATGTATGGCGAGGTTACCACCTTGCTCGGAGTACCCCGCCGGGCCTGATAAATGCAGGATGGGGGAGCACTTCAATGTAGGACAGCTTTGTCTTCGCTTAAACTTGTGAATGTATTCCACTCTTGATGCGTGCATATGCAGAAGACCTCACTCCAGGTGTGAGTCAACCGGCTAATTACCGGCCACCAAAGGTCGAGGCGGAGATGTCGGTTTGAACCCGGAATACTCTCTTTTGTGAAGTCATGTCCTGATGCAAGGTTTTGCCGCAAAGCAGAGCGAGTCATATGAAGCAAATCCTCCCATCCGAGCGTCTCAGGCTGATGGCCCCCGCTGAGTCTTGCGGGTCTTGCGGAAGCATAGACATTTCTCCAGACTTCCAGCTCCATCGAGCCTACCCAAGGTGGGTGCAGCGGCGACGGGGGGTTAGGGTGATTGCGGAATGTCAGCAATCAAGTTTCTAAAACACCCAACACCCTCAGGCCCCAAAAGCAACCCTAGGCCCTACACCCTAACCGCCCCAAAAATGTCGGCCAGCAAGGATTTCAGCTGGTCGAGGGCTTGATATAGGAAGCAAAGGTAAGTTATTGCCGCGGGGCTTCGACCTTTAAAAGTGCGAAGGTGTAACTTCACAGTTGATACACAAGTGCTTTGTGAGCTTTGTCTCCGTGCGTGAAATGATTGCCAATCGTTCGGGGGTCCCCCCAGATGATGAGTCTGGACGATGCTGGGATAAGTCTGGACAGGGCCCTTCCTAGGAGTTTCGCAAAGGCGGGGATACGTCAAGGTTGGGGATATGTCTGGATGGCTGTGGGATAAGCCTGGACGGCTACGGGATAGGGCTGCCAGATCCGGAAATATTCTGGATAAGGCTGTCTGGATGAGTGCGAATGCTGCTTCGACAACCCGCCGCCCACCCACCCATTTTTGGCGGCATCAGTGACAACTGCTCTTGGCTAACCTAGCCGAGGCGGTGTACAGCGAAATTCCGTTCGTCCGTTGCATGGCTCGGTCGGACTCAAATCTCGGTCGTGCCCAAGTTTTCTGGCGACCGTCTGATGGTAGTGGTAGGCCGCACACGGCCACCACCATGTCGACCTGCTACACTCCATTTGCGCGCTTCTTTCAGTTAAGGTGGCATCTCTTTCGGTTCTGTTGGCTCGATTTTTCAACTACAGTACCGCATGGCCACCGCGATAATCTCCGGCCTGGGTCTGGAAACCTTGCGAAGCGCTGCAGGAAAGGTTCGGGCATGCGTGCGTGCGGAAGGCAAAGGAACACCTCCTTCCATCGACTGCAGCCTCCACCTCGTGGCCCGCCATACATGTCATTTGTTTGACCTGACAAGCTTCAGAGCACAGCATTGCGCATGAGTCTAGGGGCAGGCTCTCAGACTCATGGGACAACTAATGATTTCGCTTGATATCAACCGGTCTGCATCCAGGCCTCGAAGCGGTGGAGCTCTGTGCAGTTGCATAGAAGCAGCTCCAGTGCAAAGCACCGTACAAGGCATGCAAAACGGGGCTTATTCATGCTTTCGCCCTTGTGTCGCCTCATTGAGTAGGCGAACCACACCACACAAACCACCAACAGTGCCTGAAGGGAAGCCTGGAGATTCGAGTGCTGTAGCGCCCCCAAGAATTGCCATTATTAACACTATGATCCCATACCTGCCTCCAGATGGTCACGTCCGACAGGGCAAGACACCCGCATCATCAGTGACGTGCAGCTGTGGCCGTGTGTGTAGACGCTGGGCGGCATACCAGTTTCGAGAAGACGACGCTGCCCTCATGGCCTAGCAGGCGGCAGTCGACGGCTGAAGCCGCCGGTCACAGAATTGCTGACCAGCTGCACTTGTACTTCCTGGATTTTTGCTAGTTGCCAAAACTATCCAAGATCCACGAACATGTAGGTTCTGACACCAGCAACAATGAAGGCATACCCCTGAAACCGCTGGGCCACTTCGTAAAACTTCACTCTTGGCTGGCCTGTACATTGTCCCTCGCCAGGAAGGCGACAAACGGTGGCAGCCGACAGAAGCAAGGATGCCCTGTGTACGATCTCTGCTGCTGGTTACCCGCAGCATCCCTGCGCCGGCGGCGGCGGCGGCGCCGCCGCAGACCATGCAGTCATGCAGCAGCCAAAGACAGCTTAGACTTGGGAGACTCAGTGACTCTAGATCCGCATGTGATTCCTGTTTGGGGATGAGTCAGTTGAAAGCGCCTCCCGCTACACCTTCTAGATTCTAGATCGGATGTTGGGGCGGTGGCCAACAACTGCCGGCTCTCGAAGGCCGGGACGAGTAGCTTCTCAGGTGCAAGCCAGGTTGGGCCAAAGTGTTCTGTCGGGCTAATGGGGCAGGCGAGGAGTCCCGTCCTTGGGCTCAGTTCGTTGGTGTTGATGTGATGTTGCCTCGGACAACTGATAATCCGACAGTGGTTCCCCTCGCCCTCGCCTCAGAGGCACGGTGATGCCACACTTAGTGCTCCGCTGTGACATGGGGGTGACAGCAGCAGTTATCCCGATGTGCATCTTTGTCGTTGCCGCCGTTCTTGGCTTCGTGGTGACCTGGCCGCCATGTCTTGGCGATGGATCCGTGGTGCCCGACGGCGGTGGTAACAGCAGTACTGTGCGCAGGATTAGCAGTAGAATGCGCAGCAGATCTTTCTTCCATACTTGACGACGGCTTTGTCGTGGGCTGTTGCATTGCTTGCTTGGTCGCATGTTCTCGATCAACTGAACTACGTGCAGCAGGTTCTAGCACCCCGATTCCTTTTTGCTGGCATGCTTGTGGATGGCTCCGATGCGACTTGCGGCGATGTTGCGAGCAGTGGTGACAGCAGCACAGTTCAGGATTAGCTGTAGAATGCGCAGCAGATCCAAGCCTCCTCTTTCGCTGTTTCTGCCATACTTGACGATGGCTTTGTCGTGGGCTGTTGCATTGTTTGCTTGGTCGCATGTTCTCGATCAACTGAACTACGTGCAGCAGGTTCTAGCACCCCGATTCCTTTTTGCTGGCATGCTTGTGGATGGCTCCGATGCGACTTGCGG